TAAGGAAGTCACAGCAGTCACGTGCAACATCTCCAAGAAAAGGATTTAAGCCAGGACTTTGGGGGGGCTACGATGCCACACTCACCCAGAGTATAGGCCCACTCTCTGTCTGTGGGGGGCGCACTTTTCTTAAATAAATCTTATCTTCTCTCACCTCTTTGTGTGTTGCAATTCTTTGCATTTACTCGGATCCCTGGTTTGGCAGCTTGGCACCTCCAGCACGCCGGCTCCGGTGGTGCTGCGCCTCCCTGCAACTCTCCCTCTCTATCCATCTCACCCTCACCCTATCCGGACCCTAACAGCAAGTGTGACACTGCACCCCAGACTGGACAACAGAGGGAGACTAAGATTAAAAAAAAAAAAAGAAAGTGGGGGCTGAGCAAAAGAAGGGAGACCTTCCCTCCTCCCTGCCTCTCAGCCCTAATGGCCTAGAACTTGGCCTCAGCACCAGGTAGCTGGGGCCAGAGTGAGAAGTGTTGATCTCCCATCTTTTTGAGAAAGACAGCCCTGTGATGGGGAGAAGGAGTCTTGTGTGCTTGGCGATGCTGGTCTGGAATGGAGTTTCTATCTTCCCGAGCTGGAAGGTGGGGGATGGGGAGCAGGTCTTAGTTCAAATACTACAGACTCACATTTCTTGCTGAGTTTTAGTAGATTTTCTTGAATAACTGCTTCTTTGTTTGCTCTATGCCCTTAGGAGACGTTTTTATTTTTTAATTTTAATTTAATTACAACATTTTTTTGAGTTGGGATTTCACTCTGTCACCCAGGCTGGAGGGCAGTGGCAGGATCACAGCTCACCGCAACCTTGACCTCCTGGGTTTGGGCGATCTTTCTACCTTAGCCTCCCCAGTAGCTGGGACTCATTATGTTGCCCAGGCTGGTCTTGAACTCCTGGGCTCAAGCAATGCTCCCATCTCAGCCTCCCAAATTGGCAAGAGCCACTGAACCAGGCCCTATTTTTATTTTTGAGACAAGGTCTTGTCCTGTCACCCAGGCTGGAGTGCAGTGGCACAATCACGGCTCACTGCAGCCTCAAACTCCACTTAGAAGACTTCAAGTGATTGGTTCTTTTTTTTGTTTTTGAGTAGGCGTCTTACTCTGTCACCTAGGCTGTTGTGTGGTGGCGGACTCAAGGCCAGCACAACTTTGACCTGCTGGACTTGGGCGGTCCTTCTGCCTCAGCCTTCCAAATAGCTGGAACTACAGGTGCACGCCACCACGCCCGGCTAATATTTTGGTTTATTGTAGAGATGAGGTCTTGCCAAGTTGCCTGGGCTGGTCTCTAACCCCTGGGCTCAGGCAATCCTCTCACCTCTGCCTCCCAAAGTGCTGGGATGACAGGCTTCTGCCACGAGCCTAGTGGTTGGTTTGAGAGACCCAAGAGATTAAAAAAAAGAAATACTATATGAATTCCTACCCCACGTTCACTGTATTTGTTTGCAGTGTTTGCACTTAGAATTT